CTATGGGAGGTGAATTCCATAGCAACAGATTGTATTTGTCCTTGAACCACTTAGCTTTTTATAAACAACTAAATCCATCATACATGGCAGGAAGCCCAGTGACTGTCAGTCATTCTTCTTTGGCATGTATTTCTGTCTTTACTGAAAACTAAAGTGTCACAATAAGTGTTGACAATAAGGACCTTGGCATTTATATTGCCTTTAATGCAGGAGAACAAGTTATTAGGGCGGCAGTAGCTCAGTGTGTAGGGACTTGGCTACACACTAAGGGTAGCCGGTTCAGGTGTGGACTGGTAGCTGGAGAGGTGCCAGTTTCACTTCATGTGCACTGCCAAGGTGTCCTTGAGAAAGGCAACCTAACCCCAAAAACTGCTCATGGGATGCTGCTAACGTCCACCATCTCTCTCCATGTTTGCATGTCCACGAACCCTGCATGAGTGTGCATTTCAGCCTGTGTGTGTATCAAATAAAAAAAGAGGGGAATAGGGGATTAATAAAGTAAATTTTAAATCTTAAAATATAAGAAAATGGATAGACTTTATGAGAAGTATTCAAAACCCAGAAAAACAAGACTGATCACTTGGCAACAGTGACATGACATCTAGACTGTCTGACATAATGAAATACTGGTAGGCCTAGGCAAAGAACTTTCTACATTTTACCAACCACTCTGTACTGTGCCACACCTAATCTGTGCCACATTCATTTGTACTATTTAATTAGTTTAGATTTGTTATATGTGCAATGTGATTAAACAGGTGACAACAATAAAAACATAAGTAATGGCAGCAATTAGTTTTGATATAATTAATGTGTGCCATATAATGAAAAGGGGTTAACAAGACTAAAATTACTTCTAAAAAGTAATATTAAGTAATGAGTATTATTTAATTATTTATAGGACCAAAATAAGATGGAGATGGATTCATATTATGTTTAAGCACAATAGTATAAACTTAAAGGCATAAATCCAAGTGTTTACAAACGTTACATTACATGACTACATTTCCGATAACCACCCGTTTTAATTAGTATGGAAGCCCAGGAGGTCCAAACGTAACAGCTTCGCTTATCCGCGGTACTGCTCTTGCTCTTAAAGGAGACGCATCCCTAACAGGCCTCGTCTCTGCCAAAGAAATATGAGGTTTGCTATAGCTTTAAGAAGTAATTAATGCTGAATGTTTGTAAAATTGTATTAACCACACAACGTAACTTTTTTTTATTAATAAGCTAGTTAATGAAATGTTTGCGTGGTGACGGTACATTTACTCTTGGACCGAGCTAACAAAACTTGGTCCCACCAGGGCCTTCTACGTTACGTTGGTTTTAAATTCGCTATGTTCATAACTAACTAAAAAACACGGGTCTATAAGGGTCATAACAGTTAAATAAGGGCGATATGGACGCGGAGGAAGACGAGGTTTCCGGTATTCGTCCGGGGATTGAGACAACCGGAGACTCAACGGAGGCCGCAAAAGCATCCCCGGACTCGACTGAAGCGTCTAGCCGGAGAAGGGGAAGTAGAAGGGGCTCGAAACCCGCAGTGACCTCCGCGGACTCCGGTAACTGTCAGTCTGGCACTGAAGGTCCTGTGCGTGTTTTGCGAGCTAGGGGAGCTGGAGCTGGAGCTGGCACGACTAGCGAGTCAATGGATGCTACTTGCAAGAAAAAACCTACAAGTCTGCACCGTGGACGTGGGAGACCCGCAGGATCACGCACCAAAAACACGCCCGTCATGCAGTAAGTGCGTGCACAAAGGCATGTCAGATATACTACTACTGCAACGAGACAGCTACATCACTTGTAGAAGTAGAAGCACTTATGAGATTGCACTGCAAGGAGGCTTGGGACTGTAATTTTAGGAAGTGTGTTATATCACTGGGGTTTCTTAAAGCTATAGGTTTACCAGTTGTGGAAACCAAAACAGATTTTGTTGAATGTGTGCTCCTGTCTCTGATCATTATGCTGTCCTTGTTCATTGTCACAGGGCAGTAGAGTTAAAGTATACTGTGTACGCTCCTAGCTATACTACAGATTTATTTTGATTTGCACCTGGCTGTTATTTACTGTATACTCTCTCACACACAGACCTACAATAAAGAAGTCCACAGCCAAAAAAGGTAAAAAAAAAAGACACTTTAATCTCTTTTTTTCTATAAGCAGTAATTTATTACAGCTGTCACTAATACACTGGCCCTCTGACTTCCTCAGCATCCAAACATGGACCAAAGCTGTCCAAATCTAGAAAGGGCAAAGGGAGAACTCCAACCCGAGCCTCTCGCACCACACCAGCAACAACGTGCAAGCCTGAAGCAGAGATGGAGGCTTCATTATGTGGTGAGACAAAGCCCCACTTGCTGATTTTTTTTTTACTACATGTTGAATAATTGTACAGATTTCGTGACAGTAAGACTAAAAAAATCTGAATCAACAGTTCTTCAAACTTCATATTCCTTATTTCTGTTTTTCAGAAGAGGGAACAGGTGCTTTGAAAGGAAGCAATAACAAGTGAGTGTCATGCAACTTCTTAAATGAGCAGCAGAGAAAGTGTTGGAAATGTGAATTTCATTGTGGCCAGTATGATGTTGATGTCCATATTAGCGTTGCAGATTCAGACGCGGCTTACGACGAGGACCCTCCATTCAGAGATGACCCAAATGACCTCATCTATAAACCCGAGACAAAGACGTATGCTGAGCTCAGAGACTATTTTTTTTTTTTATCATGAATGTTTCTTTATATGCAGACTTTCATTATGACGAATGTCAAAGTGTTAGTTTTAATAGTAAATTATGTGTTATCTCTTAACCTCTTAGGGAAAAATGCAGGCGCCGTAGAACATTGCAACAAAAGGAGGTGAAAAAAGAGGAGTCAGAGAAGGAGGAAGAAGGAAATTCTGTTAAAGAAGAATCAGCCAAGGTTGGGGTGTGTCGAGAAGATGGAGCAGGTGATAACACAGAGCTACAAAGAAAGTAAGCAAAGTATTGGTAAATAGGAAACTAAAAGGTCTGGTGGCCCACACTGACAATGGGTGCAGTTTAATTTCTCACTGATACCTGACGCATACCATTGTTTTAATGTAGGGCTGTTTTCATTTTTGATGGCCTGCTTACTGACAACAGGTGTATTTGATTTCTTACTGATAACTATAGTCACGCACACATGAATCAAAGCAAACTAAAGTAATGAAAATGTAATTATGCAGACCAGAGAGAAGAAGATCCCCGACTGTAATTGACAGTTGGATGTTTGGGAAGAACGATTAAATGTTTCCGATTTCCAATTCAAAGTCTGTTTTGCGATCTGTTTTAGGAGAGGTAGACAACAAAAGGATGACAAAGCCCCTCGTCTGCCAAAACGAAGGTAACAGTCCTAATTGTTTCATTCGCTGTAGATGACTAGAACTGTTTGAATTCTTAGATAAAGTTCCCTTTTTTTAATGTTTTCACAGGAAAAAGCCCCCAGTGCAGTACGTCCGCTGTGAAATCGAGGGCTGTGGTACCGTCTTGGCCCACCCACGCTACTTACAGGTTTGCCATCCTGTCAACTGTAACCGTGACAACACAAAATATCTTTAAAGGCACTGTACAGTAGCTCAACCATAGAAACCAAATAGATGTACTGAATTTTTATTTTACATACTGTTTTAGATTTGTGGTGCAAAGCATGTGTTTACTGTAATATTTAGAAACAAGTGATGTTTAAATGATTAAAGTAGGTTCACCTGTAAAGGATTATGTGTGGCATTGTGCCTTTTTAACTAGCTTACTCTTTTTCTCTGATCTTTGTTTCAGCACCATATAAAATACCAGCACTTGCTCAAAAAGAAGTACGTGTGTGATCACCCATCGTGTGGGCGCTTGTTTCGTCTTCAGAAGCAGCTGTTGCGTCATGCTAAACACCATACAGGTGATGTTATGGAACAGATGTTTATAGGGATTAGACTGGCACCATACCTTATGTTAATATGCATTTGATTATGAAAATAATTACAAAATTTCTGAGCTGCTTGAGAACTTGTAGTACATAACAATAACGAGATGGTAAATCAAAACGTCTTGTGTCTATCGTTCATGGTTTTTCACACATCTGTCTTTCAGATCAAAGGGACTACATCTGTGAGTATTGTGCTCGAGCCTTTAAGAGCTCCCACAACCTGGCTGTGCATAGGATGATTCACACAGGAGAGAAGCCAATACAGTGAGCTTGCACAACCTCTTTTCCCACGTCATGCCACAATAAGCTTGAACAATGCATGTGACTTTGACTTGTGTCCATTGTTACAAGGAACAAACCAGAAGAAATTATTTTAGTTTGGCCTTAGTGGCATGGGTATGGGTAAACATAATAGCCACCTCAAACATCAGAGTGGAAACTAAGGCAGATCATGCAGACCCCTGAAAAGATATTTTATGGTGGTGCCAGTTTCACACACACACACACACACATACAGAGCAGACAACAGGTAGAGGTCACGTTGAGGATATTGCACCAGGTGGTGAAACTGGTTTGGATCGGAATCAATCAATCAATTTGGTGATCATTTCCATTTAACCCCTTAACTTATAAACATATGTAAGAAGTTGTCTAAGTCAGTGATCAGGACCCCGACTATGGGTCGCTAAAGCTTCAAGGAAGGCCTTCTTGATTTTAAGGCATGCTAGAAAACTTAAAAAAATATACACAGTTGGCCCATATCTCAACATGAAGAAATGTCAAGTAATTTGTCTAGTAGAACAATGACCACATGTCAGGGACAAGAAGGCACTAAATTTGTCAAAACAGAAGCCTAGTAAGTCTCTATGATTGTTAGAAATTATAGAAAAATACATAATATAGACAGAATTGTATAAAAAGTTCCCTAAACAGGAAGTAATCTGAATATGTCTTCCACCTCTGCTTCAGAGTAAATAGCAGTGAAATTGGAGGTAAAGTGTAGTAGCTGAGAATAGAGGTTCAAATCAGTTCAGACTATAACCTGTACTTTGTCTCCACCCTGTGGCAGGTGCGAGATCTGCGGCTTCACCTGTCGTCAGAAGGCCTCCTTAAACTGGCACATGAAGAAGCATGATGCAGAAGCCTCCTACCAGTTCTCTTGCTCCATTTGCAACAAAAAGTTTGAGAAAAAGGACTCAGTCGTTGCCCACAAGGCCAAGAGCCACCCCGAGGTGCTCATAGCTGAAGCACTTGCAGCTAATGGGGGCTCAGTAATAAGCACTCCCATCCCGGTCCCAGAGACTGTCCCAGAGAATGTCCCAGAGACTGTCCCAGTGCCGCCCCAGCCTGACCAACCCTCTGTAAGCCAGGGGAGCCAGGAAGCGGCGAGTGGTACGCTCACTCCACTGCAGCAGGTGGTGCTGCCGCTCGCTTCACAGACGCAGAGCGATGTATCTCAGGGCCAGTTCCTCCAACTCCCCACGCATCATGTGGTGCAGGTGACCCATCAGCAGCAAGTCCCCACCTTGCTGCACCTCACCACCGCTGCTCCTGCTCACCTTTCCAACACCAGCCACCCTCAGCTCATCCAGTTCTCCACACTTCCTGCCTGCACTGTCCCATCCATGTCCGTCGCAGACCCCCAGACCACCCTCCTCACCCTGAGCTCTGTCACCACTCTGGCCTCCCCAGCCTCCCTGGCTTCCCAGCAGGCCGTGCAGTGGTCCAGGGATGCTCACGAGGATGCACAGCTGCCTGGGGAAGGGGAGCTGTGGGAGAGGGTGGTGGTGGGTGGCGGCCATCAGGATGTAGGGGGAATGATGTGGGAGGGCATTGGGGACAGGAGGAAAGAAGATGAGGGGATTGTTTGGGAGAGGGAAGGAGAGAGACAG